CGGGAAGAAGGGATGTAGTGACAAAAATGGATGCATGGTTAAAAGGTGACCGTTTTTGGTCAGGGGTCAAATTTTGTCATTATCGGCTAATTAGATCCCTAAGATGATTTTCTTTAAAAAAAAATGCATGTTGAATTGCAAGTGAAAGTCAAGTGTCAATAGTCCATACTCGTGTTCCATCGTATGTTTTGCTGGTAAGACTAAGGTCTTATTCTTTGAAAGATTAAGATCTCATTTAAAGAAAGGTAACTGTTGATACCTAAATATTTACTTAAAAGCCCACCATCCATTTTCAAAAATCTCAAGAATCAAATTCACCAATAACGGCGAAATTCAATGCCAAATAAAACATACAGTTTGTACAAACCTATATCCATTTTTCTTGTTACGTCCCCTCTACACTTTTAAACTAGAGGCATTGTAGGTTACATATATCTAGATTTCATTTCGCATATATAATCCAAACTGATACACTTATAACAAATTTATCCTCCGTTAGTTTCTGTTAAATTTTATCGTCAAATTGCTAAGTTGAATGGCACGCAACTATTAACAGGTGTACCAGTTTGGAGTTTTACCTCTCCTTTTGTCATAGGTTTATCAGTTTGTGATTTTTCGTGGTATTAATCCAATTTAATGGAAGGTAAATTTGTCACAGGTGTACCGATTTAGAGTTTTTTGTGGTCAAAAAATTAGTTTTTGGTAAATTTATTACATGTGTACCAGTTTGAGATTTTTCGTGATATTACGTAAAAAACAACCTCCCAACTGCTTCTTCTTCTCTTGACAAAAAAAAAAAACTGCTTCTCCATTACTAATAAACTTCTAAGTTTCCAGAACGAATAAACTACCAACACTCAAGATGGAAATTCATAAAAATCAAGTCTTTCATTTTTCTTTCCCGAATTTTGTACTTGCTGATTACGTCTTACAAACACAAATACAGACACATATATCTTTTCCTCGCTTTCACCTCGAATTGTAGGGCATCTTCTTTTTACACACCAACCAACTTTTTGTAGATATCATTTCAAGGTCGCTAAGATTAAAAACTTAGGAAGTGTAATGATATTTTGGCAGTATTCACAGTGCGTAAAAAAGAAATAGATTGTTTCATTATGTTATTTGCATATCTCATTCGCAACATCGATATTTATCCAATATTATCATATTTTAATGTAAAAATGAGAGCCAAAAGCAATTGCAAAGCGAATAGATATTGCAAAGCGAATAGATATGGCGAGGGCATGAGAACTAATAAGGTGTTTAATGAAAAATGAGAAGATATGCTTGCATCATGTCTCTCACATCTCATCGTGATCACCTAATTTTACACTATCAACTTGGCCCGAATAGATCGGGCCTAACTTTCCAAGACAAATTCTATCAATAGGCCTAACTTGACCCACACTGAAAAGGTTGAAATTTCGACTTGCGGTGTTATTCCACTATCCAAGCTTTCTTGCATTGCTCTGCCTTGCTCATAATCAGTTTTAGGGTACAAAATCGGACCCACCATCATGAAAAATTGTTTGGTGTTCCGTTACATGTAAACGTAATGCATCACACCTTTGATTCTGATGGATCCCATGTGGATCGCACATTGTTTACAGGATGTGACACACTAGGCTTATAAGAATTCATTCATAAAAAATGAAGAAAATTTCAAATAAGAGTCTCAAACGGGACCTTTTTTTTTTTCAAAAAAAGATCAAAAGCGGATATTATCTCAAATAAGGATCTTAAGTGGCCAACTTAATTTCAAAAAGGAAATTGAATTCACCGGCCGGTCAAATCTTATTTGCAGCCAAAGGTGTTTTCGTCCAAGGGCTTTTTTCTTTATTTTTCTTTTTCTTTCTTCTTTCTCTCTCTTTTTTTTTTGTTTTTCTTTTCTTTACTTTTGTTTTTCTTTCATCTTTGTCAAAGAAAGATTCGCTTCGAAGTCCAATGAAGCGGTTTCAAGGTGGCCCCTGGTTTTCAAATAGGCACGCCCCTAGACACACTTAGAACTTTAGACCCCAAAATCCTCAGGAAAGCAAAAGAAAGAGAAGCAACCGGCAAGCTCCGAAGAAAAACCATGGTGGGTCAGTGGACGATGGTGACGAAGCCGAGCCGCAGCGACGAGGTGCCGGACCCGGAGGAGCAGCTCAAGATCGCCGATCAGGTCCGAGCCCAGTTCGATTCCCTGGCCCCGAAGCGCCCTCTCAAGCCCAGCCGCAGCGAACCCGATTCGTCATCGTCCCCCATCGACTCTTCCGGCAGCTTCGAGCACGACATTCCCGAGCTCGACAAGTTCAGATCTCTCCAGTCCCAGTCTCCAGAGGTAATAATGAATCCACGAACTTTTTGTGTTTGCATCTGCTGATCCTGATCGAGACTCGAGAGTGGTCAGAGTTGAATGGCTTCGTGTACATATTTTCAGGGCCTGTTCGCTCCGGGACCGGGTTCCATGGACGTGCAGGTTGAGTTCGTGGAGACCCAGTATTACAAAGAGCTGGAATCGATCGACAAACAGCATCACGCGGTGATTAACGATCGCTCGACCGATCCCACGTTCCATGTTTTTCTTCCGAGCTTCCTTTTTACTTCTCAGGTGCTTGGCGTTTGAGATTGACAGAGGTTCGTTTTTTGATGAGTCAGACGGGAAGTGGGTTCATCAGGGCTCTCGAAGAAGGCGGCCAAACCGGTGGGTACGACATTCGGTGCGAAAGCGACGGTTTCGCGAACGGCCGGGATCGCAAGCCGGCAATCCGAAGCAATCCGGCGACAAACGATTGGGTCCCTAGCTATGCATTTCACCAGGTAATTCATCACTGTGATTCTTTTTGCCATCTTTCGTACGATCCTTCCGAATTCCTTCGTAGCTTTTCAGTGAAACTTTCTGTTCTGATCACCTCCCTCAGGACTATGTTTCGACCAAGCCCAACAGAAGCGAGAGTTCTTCCTAGATCTCTCCAGAAGCAGCGAGCAGGCCTTGAAGCGAGATAGAAAGCATTTTCTTTCTCCTTTTTATCCATGTATTGGAATAAAAGATGCATTCGCGTCTTCTTGATGATGATGATGATGATGATGAGGACGACCATTTCGTGTAAAGGGTAAACTATTCGAGCAACCATGTTTGTTTATTGCTTGCGCTTATCCGTTGCCGCCACTAGCACATAATTTAATGGCGATAAAATTAGTGCGGTTGTTGGAATAGTCCATGGCATGTGGGTATGTTTATCTATTTATATACATAATATTAAAGTATCGAGATTTTTTTTTTCTTGTTCTACTCTAATTCTCAACTCACTTTCAGATTTTTGACTTGCCTCTTTGTAAGTGTGGGAGTCAAACCCTACACTTAAAACTAAACGTCCCCACCCCCGGCTCACCTAAAAAGATAGGGCTACCCCTAGTGGTTAGAAAATATTTGTTCTTACGCTCGCTACACAATACTTAATTTGCCTTCTATGATTACCACGTGGCATAATTATGACAAATGGTTATGTTCGACGATTAATGCTAGTTCAGTGATTTGTCATCTTCAATTGTTTGTCACTTACAAAAATAAATTTATAAAATAAGAAAAGATAAAAAAAAAAGTATATTTATATGTCTTTTACCAATGAAGTAGATAAACATGAGGGTAAAATATATTAAAATAAATTTATATCATCATTTTTGAGTATTTCTTTCTTTCGACTTATCCAATGGATGTAATATTTTTTTTTTTAAAATGTAATTAAAATAAAGTAATCTTTGGATATATAAATTTTCCATTTGATTTGAAATGAAGGTAAAAAGAAAAATGTATCTTGTTACGTAAATAATGCTTATAATTTGAAGCATAACTTTTGTTGCTTACGTGAATAAGTCCATTACTTCTCCGTCCAATTCAAGATCATTTGAAGGATAACTTCATTATTAATTGAATAAACTTCACTTAATATTCACTTTTAAACGCTACAATGAAAAGAATAATATTCACAACTTAATCAGAACAAGCATGTTTACATACCTCTCATCTCTCGGAAGAGCTTCCCTCTACCTAATGGGGTAGCTTCGTTTCTGTAAAACCCTAATTGCCTCACTTCATCCCTTAAAGCAAAATGCAGCCACTTCCGTTTTAGTCACCACAAATCATAAATCGTTGACAACAGTCCATTTCTACAAATACTAAACCGCCACCCAAAACCCTTTCAATCCACTGCACACAAATAGCTTCGAACACTTTCGTCTAATCCTAGAGTTCTTCTCTGAAGCTGGGAATCCACTGTGAAGGGTAAGTAAGTTTTGCTTGATCCTGTTCTGGGAACTCCAGAAGTCACGACTTTGAATCACCACCATGGAGCCGGGTGAAGATTCAGACCAGAGGCTGGCCCTTCTCTGCAAAAGATTAGGAAGAATGTGGTCAGAAAAAGTCACTCAACATGTGGAAGTAATTCTTGCATCAGCGAAAGCAAAGGATGGTCGTTTAACGCTGATAGGGCAACTTCTCAAAAACCCTAAAATCAACTTTCAGGCCTTCCAAAACACAATGAGGAGAGCATGGCGAGTGGAGAATGCTGATTTTACCCCATTAGAACAAGGTATTTTTGCTATTACCTTTGACTCTAAAGCTGCGAAGAAAAGAGTGATGGACCAAGGTCCATGGTCCTTCATGAATAATCTTTTGATTTTGAAACAATGGGAACCAAATACCACAGCCTTATGTTATAATTTTGACTCTTGCGATTTCTGGGTTCATATTCTTGGGATTCCTTTTGAGTGGATTTCTAAGGAATTAGTTCGTGGTGTAGCTGGAAATATAGGGCAGGTGCAGGAAGCTAAAATAGAGACTAAAGGTATGGTGTCCTATGGAAGGGCGAGAGTGACTTTGGATTTGAACTTACCTCTGCAGTCTGGAATGCTTGCTAATAATTGAGGAAAGAAAATCTGGATGGACTTTATATACGAGAGGCTCCCGTATTTTTGCTTCTCTTGTGGGAAAATAGGCAATTATGCCTCTGACTGTGAGGAGGTGCCATTTAATGTCGAGGATTTAAACATTGATGAGGAGAGATTATTCGGCTCATGGCTGAAGGCTGAGGTAAGTAGTAAAAGCCCATTCCGGAAGTTATTTCATGGCAAAGACTCAGATGAACCTATGGAAGAGGAAAGTATCCCGGAGATACCTACCCACTCTGGACAAATAGTACTTTATGAGAAGGGCAGTTCTAGCCCCTTCTAGCAACTTCAGCAGAATGACAATGAGAAAAGAAAGAGTAAACTTACTAAAACATGTAACTTAGCCATTGAGAGTGGGCATTTGGTGAAATTTCCTGATATCTTGGCTGGAGACCAGACTCTCCCCAGGGAACTTGATTTAACAAGTGTACCAACTAGTTCCAACAAAAAGAAACAAAGTGGACAGAAAACTCCAGTGCGTAAGAAGATCAAAAGGTTTAATCCATATAACTCTCAAGGGAACAATCTGCTACTAGTAGATGAAGACCAACTGCTTGAAACGCCAATCCAAGTATTGGAAGGCACATAAAAATGGGCTGTGGTGGCTAACCTTAATAAGCCACCGGGGTCAAAATGAAGATTTTAAGTTGGAACTTTCAGGGGTTGGGCACACCTCTGACAGTCCAAGCTTTGAGAGCCTTAGTGGCTCAAGAAAGGCCCGAGGTACTATTTCTTATGGAAACAAAAAACCAAGAAGAGAAGATCCACAGGTTAAGGAGGACGTTGAAATTTGATGAGTGCTTTGTTGTCAACCCAGCTGGGACAAGGGGAGGCTTAGCAATTATGTGGGATGTTTCTGCTGCTCTTTCCATTGTATATGCTTCAGCTGAAATGATAGACATTGTATGTGAAGAGGTGAATTATAAAACTAAAATGAGAGTGACATTTGTACATGCACCTACAAACTACCAAGCAAAACTCAGGGTGTGGGATGAAATATATAGAATGAGTGAGATAAATCAGTTGCCCTGGGTTTGCACGGGGGACTTCAATGAAATCATGTATCATTAGGAAAAGGTAGGCACAAGATTGGCTGAACGTTGTAGACTTCATTAATTTAGGGAGTTTCTATATAGATGTGAACTATTGGACCTTGAAAGTAAGGGTTGCGCATTTACCTGGTCAAATAATCGTGAAGGAGAAGAGCTTATCAAGGAAAGACTTGATAGAGCAGTAAGCAATTTGATTTGGAGGCTAGAATTCCCTGAGGCAGAAGTATATGCATTACCGGCTATTGGTTCTGACCATAGCCCAATCCTATTGTCTATTTTTCAAGCCCAAAAGAGGAGGAAGAAGAATTTTAGTTTCGAAGCATTTTGGCTAGAGTATAAGGAATGCAGAGGAGTAATTAATAAGGCCTGGACTTCTCCTACAGGGGAAAATGAGAGTCTCTTGATCAGGCTGGGAAAAGTCACCGTTGCATTACAAAGCTGGAGTAAGAAGAAATTTTCAAATGGGTAGGAAAGAATAAAGCAATTAATGGCAGAAATTAACTGCATAACAAACAGTCCAACTGCTGAAAAGGGAAAAGAACAACTACAAAGTTGAGAGATGATATTGAAAGGCTATGGAGTTAGGAGGAGATGTATTGGGCAATGCGTTCAAGGATTAATTGGCTCAAGTGGGGGGATCGAAACACAAGTTTTTTCACGCCACTACCATACAGAGGAGACAGCGAAACAAAATTTCAATGCTGAAGGACTCCGCAGGACATTGGACCCGTGACCAAGAACAACTAAAAACGATGACATATGACTTCTTCAGAGAGTTATACAGCCCAGTTGGGCTTCGAGATTTTACTCCACTGCTGGAATACTGCTCTTCTCGTGTGAAGGAGGAAACAAACCTGAGGCTGCTAGAAGAAGTAATGCTAGAAGAGGTAAAGCAAGCAACGTTTCAGCTTGGACTGAATGGCCAGTTCTTTCGGCACTACTTGGAAGACATCAAGCTGGAAGTATTTTCTGAGGTCAGTAAATTTTTCCAAACTGGAGTGCTAAATCACCAATTAAATAGAATGCTTACCTCTTTGGTGCCAAAAGTAAAAAACCGAGAGAAGTTGGAAGAGTTTAGACCTATAAGCTTGTGTAATTTTGCATACAAGATCATTTTAAAAGTGCTAGCAAACAGGCTGAAACCATGGCTTCCGGATTTGATAGAAGTTGAACAGAGTGCATTTGTAGGAGGACAGCAAATCCAAGATAATATCCTCGTTGTTCAGGAAGATTTGCACTAGCTAAGGGTTCGAAAAAGAAAACAAAAATTCCAAGCGGTCTTAAAGTTAGACATGCAAAAGGCGTATGATCGGATTGAATGGGACTTTTTGGAGGCATGTATGATTAAAATGGGGTTTAATGAAAGATGGGTGAATTTGATCATGCAATGTGTTACGACAACCTCATTGAGTATCAAGTTGAATGGGGAACCCTTGCCTTACTTCCAACCTACAAGAGGAATAAGGCAAGGGGACTCTTTATCCCCATACTTATTCATACTGGTTGCTAACTTCCTATCGATGCTGATGAAGAGAGCTATGCAAGATGGCACCATAAAAGGGATAAAGTTAAATAGACATTGCCCTGTACTATCTCACCTACTTTTTGCAGATGATTCAATCTTTTTCTTATATGGAAAGCTACAAGAATGTCAGAACCTGGCTGCAATCCTTCACCAGTATTGCTTTGCTTCAGGGCAAGTAGTTAACTTGAACAAGTCAGGTATATCTTTTAGTAAGGATTGCCCTTGTGAATTAAGAAGGAACATGGCAAGAGAATTGAGAGTCCCGGAGATTGATAAGATAGGGAAATACTTGGGTATTCCCTCTTATTGGGAGCATCCAAAAAGCAAATGTTTGTTTGGATCCTAGCGAGGGTAAATATGAAGCTGGAAGGGTGGAAAGAGAACACGATGTCTAAAGCAGGAAAAGAAATTCTTATAAAAACAGTTGTCCAAGCATTACCTCAGTATGCGATGTCAATTTTCAAGATCCCAGTGTCAGTATGTCGGGCAATTGAGCAAAAAATAGCAGCATTCTGGTGGAAAAACCAAACCTCCAAAAAAGGAGTACACTGGAGGAAGTGGGAATTGCTAAAGCAAAGAAAAGATATGGGAGGCCTTGGTTTTAGGGATTTAATATCCTTTAACAAGGCCATGCTTGGGAAACAGGCCTGGCAATTAGCAAAAAACCCTACAACTCTGTGTAGTCAGATCTTAAAAGGAATCTACTACCCAGATAAGTGTTTCTGGAAGGCAGAGAAGGGATCCAGACTCTCTTGGGGATGGCAGAGCATATTAATGGGGAGAACAACAATTGAAGGCTCAATCATGTGGTCAGTAGGAAATGGAAAAAACATTGACATCAGGGAAGACAAATGGCTCAAAAGGGGAGCTATAGGGGGACCAGCTAATGTTGGAGATCCAACAAAGGTTGCTGAATTGATAAACCAGGAGGAAATCACATGGAAGGAACCAATCTTGAGAAGATTGTTTGATGAACAGATAGTGAGTGAGATCCTCACAGTCCATATCAGACCGCAAATGAATGTAGACAAGCTGGTCTGGACTGGAACGAGAGAAGGGGACTACACTGTAAAAAGTGGTTACAATACTCTTTGCAAAAATGAAAGCAAAGCAAATACAGATCGTGCCTCCTCCTCTCACCAAACTCCAAACAAACTCTGGAACCGAATTTGGAAAATGGAAACTCTCCACAAAATCAAGAATTTTATTTGGAGTTTAGCCAAAATGCTCTCCCGACAAAGGAAAATTTATACAGAAGGAAGATTGTACCTGATCCCACCTGCTCAATTTGCCGAGCGCATGCTGAAACCTCGGAGGATTTATTCCTTCTCTGCAAGTGGACGAGGGAAGTTTGGGATGATCCTGTACTAAATATCCAGATCTCTAAATATCAAACTTCCAGAATCTATGAATGGCTGATAAATTACATACCCAGCGGAAAGAACTTACCAGAATTTGAACTAGTCTCGGTTGTATTTTGGAAAATCTGGAAAGCAAGAAATAGCCACGTTTTTAGAAGGTGCCTCCCGGATCCGAAGTCGCTGGTCGAAGGAGGGCAACAAATGCTCAGAAACTTTAGCAAATGGAGCAATTTGGACAAAAACTTAGTAGCTACGAACAAGGAGGAGGAGGATATATGGATTCCTCCAAAAAGGGGAGAAACAAAAGTAAATATTGACGCTATGCACCAACCTAGATCATTTGAAGGATCAATTGCCTGTGTGTGCCGCAACTCATCTGGGATTATGATCGATGGCTTCATAAAGAACGTCCTCGTTTCCTCCGCCGAGCAAGCCGAAAGCCTGGCCATGGTGGAAACGTTGAAATTCCTCTCTCCATGTGTGGGCGAAAGATTGACTTTAGAGTCAGACTGTCTTAGTTTAGTGAGAACTGTGAAGTCTTCAGATCAATTACCATGGGAACAACGCGCACTTATCAGCGAAACCCGTGGCCTGATTTCTAGTTTCTCTAATTTAAAGCTACTCTATTGTAAAGGGGCCAGTAATAGTGTGGCCGACTGGGTGGTGAAGACCCACAGAAAAAAAGTACTCACCGATAACTGGTTGACCCGCCCTCCACAGGCCCTTAGAGATCTGCTCTGTTTTGAGACCCCGCCAGTGGGTTCTTGTTTTAAAAGATATTAATGAACAGTTTATATTTCTGATGAAAAAAAAAAATCAGAACAAGCATGTTTACTTTGCATTTAGTTTTATTTTCTTCTTTCAAAATTCACATATTTAATTTTCATTTACCTTAATATAGCTTATATCATTTGAATCAAATTTGTTAAGGAAAAAATGAAAATGACTATAGAGCTCAAAGGCAACCGGTCCGCTAAACAGGTGGACAACTTCCTTTGGAGCATGGAGCAATACTTTGTGCCATTAAAATTCAAGCGAGATGGCCAATATAAGAACCGCTTCAATGTTCCTGACTGATAATGCAATGCTTTGGTGGTACAATAGGTGCGACGAGACTAAGTGAGGCGCCGATCCCATCAACATGTGGGATAATTTCGTCGAGGAATTTCAGGATTACTTCTTCCCGGAGTTTGCTCTATGAGAGGCCCGTAGCAAGCTCCATCACCTTGAGCAACGAGGCACAATCCAAGAGTACGTTAAGGAGTTAACCGAACTCAAGCTCCAAATTCCCAACTTAGGGCACGAGGAGGCTCTCGGGGCTTTCATGGATGGATTAAAGCTGTGGACCTAACTCGAGCTCAAATGAAGGGATGTCCGAAGTATCTCAAAGGTACTCACTGTAGGCGAGTCTCTCGCCGACTTCACCAAAGTCAAGTCCTCCAAGTCAAAAAGAACGGATGGAGAACGGATCGCCACCATGAGGACAAATAAGGTGAAATTGTCTGTGGCCGAAAAGACCCAAAAGGCGAAGCTACCTGTGGTCGAAAGGACCAACAAGAGAAATCATCGGGGGAAGGGTCATCCAAACCATCTTTCCAAAGGTGAAACTGACCCCAAGGAGACTTCAACAAGGAAAAGTTTGAGAAGCCATTGCCATCCCCATGCTTCAATTGCGAAGGTCCCCATTGCACACTAAAATGCCTCAAGAAAAACAAGCTCAACTCCTTGCTCACCATGGAGGAGGAAGACCCGAAACAAGAAAGAAGGGAAGTTCGACTCGTAACTGTAAAGGTTCTCAACTCCATTAATTCCATGAAAACCCAAGCACCGCCCAAAAAGAAGCCTACAAGCTCACATTTGTCATTCGTGGAAGTCAAGGTAATTAAAACAACACTATATGTCTTGGTTGACACGGGTGCGTTGAATATGTTCTTGTCAAGCAAAGCGGCGAAAAGCTTGGAACTCCAAGTGGAACCAACCGGACATCGGTACAAATCAGTCAACTCAGAGGATGTACCGGCCATTGGCAGAGCCTAAAATGTGGGACTGCATGTTGGTGAATGGAAGGGCAAGCTCTCTTTCAAGGTAATTCTGCTTAATGACTATGATCTTACTTTGGTTTGGAATTCTTTGATAGTGTCAATGTGATGATCGATAAGAGAACCAAGTCGATTATTATCACCAACACAAAATGTCCATCGGTGGTACCAATGGTCTATGGGTTGACGAAAACCAAGAGCATTTCCATGATACGACTCGTGGATGAAGGGTCGAGAGTTGAGGAGCTCGCAACCGAGTCAAACACTAAGCCACAACCTTTGGAGAAGCCAAATAAGGAGTTGGGGCAACCGACGCAAACTCAAAGTAAGATGCCGATTCATGTGCTTTTTCCGGAAATGGAGAACTTTCGAGCAACATGGAAATGGTCGAACCAAAAAAGGAGTTGTTTGTGGAACGAGTTGGGATTCAAGAGCCGTGTAGTCAACAAGTTGAGAAAGGAAAAACCAAGCGGCATCAGAGACAGAAGAATCGACAATGTTCGAGAAAATTGACAATCCAACGGAAGGATGCGATCGGTCAAACGGAAAACTCCGAGTTGAGAGCGCTAAGGAAGTTGCTCGAATGGGTGGGGGAGAATGTCACGGTTCCAAGATTCTCAAGGCTCGATGTACTGAGGACCGGTCCTAGTGAACAGAATAAGACTACTTCTTGAAAATGTACACTTGTATTAATAATGTAGATGGTAGTCTTATTTTAAATAGAGGACGGGGTAGTTGAGAATAGTAAATCTCCACATGTATATATAAAAGTGGTCTTCCCCACATTTGTATTATCTGACACTCATGTAATAAAAGTACGTTCTCTCCCATTGATTAGTATAAGCAGGCACATACGGCTGTAACTTCCCATCGATTGCTAGTAGAATTCAGTCATTAAGTTGTTAGCGTGGAAGAATGAACGTAGGCTTACACCAAACCGAACCACTACAAGCTCTTGTGCATTGTTCTCTATCTCTATGATCATATCTACATACTGTGTCATAGAAGCACTGCACTATATTGCTTGATATAACTAGATCCTAATTATATCGACACTCTGTTTCACCCGGTCACATTTGTATCATAATTGACACTTTTAATTCTATAATATTTGCCAAGTTTCTTGAAACCTCCCCTCCTGATGATGCTGCTAGCCAACATCAATATGGAAATCCCTACATCATCTCCATGTCATAGGGGTGAGAAGTTCTGGGTATCGTCCAGGTTCCATCTAGAACTTGAAACCTACAAGAATCTACCCGTCAGGACTGGTTTTCCATTTTTTGGATCTGGAACTTACCCTGTATACCCTAAAATCGACCCTAGAAGGGGTGAGCTGTTTCAAGTTTTGTCAATGGGACCTAGAACCTACCATCCAAATCGGTTCTCCATTTTTTGAAATCTGAAACCTACTCTGCATACCCTAAAACCTATTATGTCACAGCGAGAACCAGCCAATTTCTACTTTTTTATTGTTTCATTTTTAGTTAAGCAAAACGAAAGTGAATGCAATAACAAAAATTAAAATTTTCCATTTGTCAAGGATCGCGCTTTTTTCACTCCTTCTTTAGATAATACACTCCTTATAACAGTGTTTTGACCATATTATCCTCCATAGGTCCCACTTTTTCAGCATCTTCATTATTTAGTTTCTTTATTTTTCTTTTCTTACGGGTCCCACCTTCCTCCTCCTTTTTAATATCTGTTCTCTCTCTCCTTGAGGTAATTCTAGCCCTTTTCTTATTCCTCTTAATTAAATATGATTAGACCAAAAAAAAATTAAATCTTATCATGGTTCAATTCTTGATGGTAATTCATCAATTATCCGAAAATGAATATAACCCTTTCTTTTCTCAATTTCGCTCCAAAAATGATTTACATTTTCCAACTAGCTAAGAAGATGGAAAGAAAGGGAAAAAGAAGAAGAAGCTTCAATGTCAAAATTTCATTTTTCTCACTCTCATCGGAAGCAATTGGAAACATTTCATTGCTAGGTTTGATCTTTTTCTGCTTCTTTGTTTTCTTCATCAGCTACCGAATTATGACCATGGACAGCATGACTCCCAGCATGGTAATTGTCAACTGAAAGACCACCAACATTGTAGTCCTCCTCCTCTTATCTCTCTCTGACTTTGATCTCTCCATTTCTTCTTCCTCTTCTTGTTCACCGTGATGGACATACTGTGTAACATCTGCTTTAACTAATTGCTCTTGACTCTCTCTCCCACATTCTCATCCTCAGCATACCATTTCTTCTCTTTCATATCTCCCAACTTCACTCTCCCTTACCCACACAAACTATTCTTTTAACCACCTCGATAAACTCTTATGGTACTAGGATTAATATATATATATATATATATATATATAGAGAGAGAGAGAGAGAGAGAGAGAGAGAGAGAGAGAGAGAGAGAGAGAGAGAGAGAGAGAGAGAGAGAGAGAGAGAGAGAGAGAGAGAGAGCACAATTAGAGGGAAATCAATCAATGGCGTTGTCCGACCACATGGCGAGTGTTCACCCATGGATCTTTTATCGTTCGTGCTTCATCCACCCTTAATTCACCGAGGCCTACTCTTGGGATACCGAGATCGACACCAAAGTCAGCCACCACTACCACCACCTCCTCCAATAACTCCGACACCCTCATCCCCAATGTCGTCTCCCCCTTCCTCGAACACCACTTCGAGCCCGCGCCTTCTACTGTTGTCGCCACTCCCTTGGGGTTCGACCAGGAGGCCATAACGCCAAAGCGTAACGAGTCTCCCTTGTAACCATTAACATGACCACCAATCTTGTATGTTAAGAGAGATAAGATGGAAGGTGAGACCCACAACAAAAGAAAAATATAGAAATCAAAGGGACATCACATTTGAGAGAAAAAAAAAAGGAACACTTTAATAGAATAATATAAAGGATGCCTAAAAAGTGGGACCCATGGAGGATAATATAGTCAAAACACTAAAATTGGGAGTGTATTAGCAATGGAAGGAGTGGAAAAAGCGTAGCCTTTTGTCAATAGCAATAATCCACAAAAGATGAACAAGTAAAATAAAATAAATAATAAAAGTTCAAAATATGTAACATAAAACCTAAATTATAGAACTTCAGTTCTCAATCATCCACGGAAAATTGCTCCAAATTCTAATCACTTGAAATCAAAAGAAACCTCGACCAAAAAAAAATTCAAAAGAAACAACAAACATAGTTAATCACTTAATAATAATTTTAAATTAAAATTACTATAAATTAAATTAAATTAATTATTAAAAAAGCCTCACAGCATATATTCATTCTACTTCAATTCGTAAACTCTATATAGATTGTCTTGGTGTCCGCATAGGATTGCAAGAGTCCATGAGTGATGAAGAAACCGAGACATAAAATATCTTTGTACATTGAATCTAGAATAAGGAAATTGGGATGTCCATTTTATTTGTACCTTGTCCATATAATATAACAACCAGACTGAAGCTCAGGCTGTCCAAAT